TTGTATAGTAGTAAGTCATATAATTTTCAAATAAACAAATAATCCACATATATGGAGATATGTGATCAACTTTCTTTACTGACAGGGTAAGCAAACTAACAAGTTTGAAGATGGCTGCGCCAGGCTGCACCTGCCCATAGAGCCATAGAGAATTGATCTTGACAGATTCCTTGAGATGCCTAGCTTGGTATCTTTCTATAGATATAATTCCTTTTATCTTTGAGTTCATATGGTTCAAGGAAAAAAATATACATACAAACAAATAATCCAGTGACAACTTTCCCACCTACCCTCCCCCATCGGCCAATTCATAGTACCCCCATCCGGTGATCCCTGTTATCAGTCTAACTCACCCATGCAAAGTGGTTGTTATAAGAATACAAAGAAATGTGAATATATATTCTTATGTTTGTTCTCATGCACAAAAGGTAGCACATGATAATTCTGTTTTCTGACTCTCTTTTCACTTAGCAAAATACCTTGGAGATCTTCATCAGGTTATAAAGAGCATTGTTGTTCTTGTTTTCACAGCTGCACAGTATTACCCTGAATGGATATTTCATAATTTATTTAACTGGTTCCATATTTTTGGATGTTTAGGTTGTTTCCAATCTTTTTTCCAATCATATAATGCTGCAGTGAAAAAGGAGCACACATTTCATCTTGCATGTGTGCAAGGCGATCACAGAATGACTTTTCAGAAGTGGAAGTGCGGGCCCAAGCAGACATGTTTTCCTGCAGATAAATACCACCACAGCGGGCCCCACACAAGGTGCCCGTCAACAGTGCCAAATGCCTCGGGCCAGGGCCTGTTTCCGCATAGCCTTGTCAACAAATTTTTGGAGTCTTGCCAAGATGACTGAAAAATGGTCTCTCACTATAGTTTTAATTTACATCTGTTTCATTATGAGGAAGTTAAAGATCATTTTGCATATTTAAAAGCCATTTGTATTTCCTTCTCTGTGAAATGTCTCTTTATATCCTTGGTCCACTTTTCTGTTGGAATGATTATTCATCTTTTGGTCTTGATAAATTAGGAAGATTAGTCCTTTGTCTACAATATGAGATGAACTATTTTCTCCAAGTTTGTGATTTCTCTTTTTTACTTTTCTTACGATCTTTTTTAATATGCAGAAATTTTTGTTGTTTGTTTATTTTAAAAAAATGAAATTATCAAACTTTTCTTTTATGGCTTTTAGATTTGAGTAATAGTTGGAAAATGCTTCTCCACTCCCAGATCATAAAGCCTTCTCCTTTGTTTATGTCTATTACACTTACGGTTTCTTTCTTACATTTAAATCTTTGATAAATCTGAAGCTGTCCCAGGACATGGTATGAAGTAAAGACACAATATCTTTGCCCAGGTGGCTATTCACCTGTCCCAAGACCACCTACTGAATGGCCCTCATCCTCCCCACCAGTCTAAGACGTGTGAACCACATACTAAACTGCCATGTGCATTTGCTCCTACTTATGGCTTTTCTCTTCTGTTTCTTTAGTTTGTCTCTCTATTCAAGTACCAGTACCACACTGTTTTACTTATTACAGCCTTATGTTTTAATATGATTCCTAGGCTATTTAGTGTTTTATATACAATAAGAGAGTTCTGTCTCTGTACAGGTTTTAAAACCAGACAGCTGAGGGCTCAAACCCCCGCTCCCCCTATAGCTGTGTGACGTTGGGCAAGTGATTTAACCTCTCTGAACCTTAGTTTCCTAACCTGTGACTTGGAGATAATCATAACTTCTTTCCTGGATCATTTTAAGGATTAGAGATCCTCGGGTGAAGCCTTATTACACACACGTGGTAGACTCTCCGTGGTAGCTATCACAGGTATGTTGCCAGGTTTCAAATTGTTAAGACTGTATCCAGATTCAATAGAAACTGTTAGCTTGCCTACTTGTGTTTACCAAGTGAAAAATCATCTCAAATGAACAAATCTCTGATCAAAGAAGAATTCTGAGGAGAGAGTAAAGAAGAACCTTAAAACCCTAACTGAATTAATTACCTATTTAAAAAACATTTATTGAGCAATTATTATACGCCAGGAACTCTGCTGAGTTTTAAGGATGCAAATAAAATACAACATCCAATGTTTGGGTGCTGACTACCCATCATTTGCTAGGCGTTGACTCTTGCTGAGTGGCTGATTAGAGGGCGTCCTCTGCCGTTCCTCCTCCTCATCGCATTCTCACGGCCTGACTGTGACGACACTGCCCTCGCCGTTCCCCTGCGTCGCAGCATTGGGCTCACCTTTGCCTTCCCTGCCCAGGCCTCTTCCCGTGCTCGACCATCACTGCTGCTCTTCCAGGGCTTCCATCTGGCCACGGCCTACCCACGCACCCTACGCCATTCAGTCCACTTTCAGTCTCACAGCACGATGACTGATGGATCTTCATCTCCCTCCGTCAAGTTTCAAACAAGCGGATCCAAAGTCCCACTGCACAGCTTCATCCGGACCCTCTACAAGCTCCCAAAACTCAGAAACTACCAAAAGGAGTTCATCGTTTTATATTCTAAAGCTCTTTTTACCTCCCACCCAAAGTTCCCTGAACTCGCTCTGTAGTTTCTTTCATCCACACTCCCTCCTCCACCAGCTAATTTCCTTGCTGTGGGCAGGATTCTCAGACGACCCCTGATAGAATCCCCTCCCCTGAGTGGGGTGGAACCTGTCACTGCCGTCTAGATCACCAAATACGAGCAGAAAGTGATGGGACAGTCGCCCCCTTGATTGTATCACAATATGACACCAACTCAACTGATTGGAGCCAGAATCTCTGCTGGCCTTGAAAATGGGACAGCATGCTGTAAGAGGGCCACGTGGCAAACAAGTGCAGAGCCTCTTGGAGCCAAGAGTGGCCCCTGTTTGACAGCCAGAGAAAACGGGAACCTCAGTCCTACAACCACAACAAACTGAATTCTGCTGAAAATCAGATGAGCTTGGAAGAGACCACTGAGCTCCAAAAGGAACTCAGCCAGGCCAACACTCTGATTTTACCTTTTGAGACCCTGAGCAGAGAATCCCTTTAAGCCTGGACACCTGACCTACAGAAAATCTGAGGTAACAGAAAAGGGGGGTTTTAATCCACTAAGTTTGTGGTAATGTGTTATGCAGCAATAGAAAACAAATACACATCTACTCATCCTTTAGGAGTTAACTCAGGAAGCTTTCTTTGATCCTACTTCCTTCTCCCCACTCCACCCACACTAGGTTGGGTAACCCTCTGAAGCCTGGAAATATCCTGTGCTAATCTCTGTTATTGGGCCTCTGGCACTGGACTGCCATCATCCATCCTATTGGTCTCACCTGCTTGATGAGCTTGCTGAGACAATGTCTTAACCACCCTTCATCCCCAGAACATAGTCTGGCACCTAGTCTAGCTCAACAAACATTTGCTGAATGAAGGCATGAATGCAAGGTTCAAGAATAGTATTTTTGGGCCTGGTAAATGACACACTGAAAGTTACCATGGATATCTTCGTGCAACTAATAAAGTAGCATCCTGATAACAGGTACTATAACCCAGTGCTTCTCAACCTGTAACATGCATACAAATCACCTGGGCCTCTTGTTAAAATGCAGATCTTGAGTCAGTAGGTCTGGGGTGGGGCCTGAGATTATGAGTTTCCAACAAGCCAGCTGACGCCACTTAAGGTCTGGGGGCCACAGGCGGGGCCGCATGGCCGCTGCTCCATAGAGCGGGTGGGGGTGGGAGAGCAGGAACCCATCCTATCTGCCTCTCTTGTGCTGCATGTGAAACAATGAACTGAATCGGGTCTAATTTTCTAGGGTAGCTCTTTACCCCAATTTCATCCCCCTTTACCCACTCGACACGTGAAATTTACATAATTCAAAACAACATGAGTCCTGTCTCATACAGGTTCTACTGCAAAAACTGAAATAGTAACAAGAAATAGTATTTAAAGAGTTGATTACGTGAGCACAACAGCTCCTGAAGCATTTTTATAATCACTGTATCATTCAAATATAGAAAGGAATACAGAACATGCTGCCTGTCACTCAGTTGGTGGATTAGGGTGTTTGGTTCACCCTTCTTTATTTGCTATTGAAATTCTGCCTAGATAGAAGAAACATATTCCTCACAAAAATGACATTACCTCTTCCTTAAGAGTTAAATTACTCAAGCTCCTTATGTGCATATGTCTTTTGGATGGATCAAGATTATAGATGTGTAGACATACACAGGAAAGATGATAATTTTGCACGTCAAAATAAATTTACATTTCTCTTATGCTATGCTGCCCTCATTCTTTGAACAATTTTGCAAATAAAAAAGGATTTACTACTATATGATAGAGCAGGAAGAATTCTGAATTTGGGGTCTGGTGACCTAAGACCAAACGCCAACCCTGCCATAAAGAGCTGCAAAACTGGAACAAACGACAGCGAGCCTCCGGCCCCGACTGCGCCGGTCTGTGAAATGAAGCACTTGGACTTCACGTTCCCCAGAGATCTTGCGGCTCTAACATCCTCTGCCTCTGTCTGGGCTAACGCTTTCATAAAGCACATAAATCCACACCACTATTAATGAATAGAGAATTAATTTTTTAAAAAAAGGAAAAATGAGCCCTTTTATCCTCCCAGACAGAACTCTTAAGGAAATAGACATGAAGGGAGAAAAATAAAACCATTACTGTGATTTCTCAGGTTTCAAACTTTAGCTCTGAAAACTGAAAATAAAGCTTTAGGAATAAAACCCAGTGCTCCGAAAGGGGGAGATAATGGTTTAAGGAACATAAAGTAAGTCTTTGCTATGGTACCTCTCCATCTGCCAATTTAAAATCCATCATTTCGGAAGAGAGGATTATGAGGTGGGAAAATAACCAAAAAGGCCTGATTTCTGTTCCCTCCTGATGGCCTTGGATGCATCATATACTTATACTACAAGTTACAATGATGTTTTCTAATTAATCAGTGTCTTCATTTCCCTGTCTATGAATTCCAATCAAGGAAGCAAAACAAAGGATTTTAACCGCACCAACTTGTGTTTGGTGATTTCAAGCCATGACCTTGGAACTGTCGGGCAACGCCTCCACCCTTCCCTTCACCGTCAGACCGCACTCCAGGAGCACTCCAGGGCTTTCGGGCACCTGCTGGTCCTCTGCCATCAGAACAGAGGGTGACACCCACTGGCTGCATGAACTGTAGGAAACACTGAAAGCCTGTTTAACAACTCCAGTGATAAACCACTATCTGAATTTCACCTGCTGTTTCAAGTCCACTTTTCAAATTCTTTTTTGCTCTGATTCAATGTGGGATACAAACTAAAGACAAATGAAATTAACCTTCTAGATAAAAGTACAGGAAAAGATTACTTGCCATTGCTCTCATGGAATTCAGATGCAGACAGAGAGGAAATGCTCTCAATTTTGTTCAAGTAATAATATAGCTACAGTCTCTGAGTGACATCTCTATAGTATTTGTATTACTCACGTTTTTTATGTTCTGTATTTTATGATGCTTTGACATTTAGCGGCTTGCGGACAGAGGAGGGACTGGCCCTTTCAGAGTGAGCTCATTCCTAGAGGCAGCAAACAACTTGTCTGTGATCACGCCCTTGATGTGCAAACCAATGAAGCCTGAGTCCACACCCCTCTCACGTCTTTCTATCAGGCGCCTGCACTTTGGGACACTATTCTCCTGCCCTGAAGCATCCCGGGGCAGGCAGACCATTAAGACGGCCCTTAGAGCCGGACCACCGAAATTATCCAAACCAGCGATGCTAAGTCTGCTCCCCCTGCCTCGCCCACTCCTTCCCACAGAACACGATGAGGCTTGTGCCCACATTCTCCCTTGCTCCTGCTGCCTCCTGGCCAACTCTGGTGCATCCCTGGGCACAGCATGATGTCCCTGGCCTCCTGGAAAAGAGAGTAACAAACGATCTTCAGTGGCAGTGGTCTCTTGATCAGTGAGCCTCAATACACCTGGATAAAAACAAAATTCCAGGTATGTTTTAAAACAGTATTTGCTGAGAGACTTATATGAAAAATAAAGGGACCAAAATCTAAAACAGCTTTATAACATCTTCTTACTATGCTTCCTCTATATATAAATGAATTCTGTTGGCTGATGCAAACTGTCATCAGACGTGTGGGGCAATAAGACGATAAATGAAGTACTACTGAAAGACAAGGAACTAAAATAATCCTACCCTCAACATTTTCTCAATATCTACTTAAAGATAGTACTAAAAAGACTTCATCGAAGCCAACACGGCCCCCTCCTGTCGGAGTGCCACATCCAGCAGCCACAACGTCAAGTACACCACGCTCTGCTCTGCCGGCAAGACCCTCTCCGCCTGGCCAGGCTGACCTCCCAGTCATCTTACTGTCTCATTATGTACCAAATTCCAGACTTACTGAAATGGAAAGACCCTTAAAGATCTTCTAACCTAAGACCCTGGTTCTATAGACAAAGAAGCTGAGCCCCAGGCTGGGGAAGGACTCGTCCCTGGTCACAGAGCTAATTATCACGAGAGCCAAAGACTAACGTCCAAATATTCTGGCCCCCAGTCCAGGGCTCATTCTACAAAACTTACCAGGTCATTATAATCTGGTCACATATCACATATGATAAAATGTGCTTCCAACCCCGTCCCTTTGCTCATGCTGCCTCCTCAGCCCGGACGATCCCTCTGGGACCCTTCAACTTCCTTCTCTCTCAAGGTCAGCTGCCCAGAGAGAGTACCCAGATGTGACAATGCAGTTAAGTTGTATTCCCTCATATTGCATTTTACCAGGCTGGATTTAAGAGCCGTTTGTTAAAACAGCATTAAATAAATATTTTTAGTTACTAAATAAATTAAATAAAGCATTAAACATGGACATCTTAGATGCTCTTCATCCTTCAAGGCCAAATGCAAGCTCCGCGCAATGATCCCACCTTCTCCGAAGGCTGAGCGGCCCGAGAGCACTGGCCGGAGAGCACCGGCTGCCTCCGCTCCTCCACGGGAGTCAGTTCTCTTCCACGCGGCCACATTCTAAGATCCTGTAGAGAATGAATAATGTCTCATATTTCTATTTCTCAAAGTTCATGATTCACTAATTAGATGTAGATTCACAGATTTTAAGAGGTTCAGGGGGAGAAGACTGGAACCTAACGTTTATTCAGTATCAGATATTTTATATACACAGAGACCACATAGTTTATTCTCATATAGTCAAATAAAATTTCTTTTTTTATTTGGGAAACTTGCATTTTTATGTAGGAAATTTGAAATTTTACAGCCTACATATAGTTTGGGGTTTTGTGCCTAGAACACCAACATACACACCAAATATCTATGAATCACCAAATATCTATGACTATATTTAAAAAAATGCTTAGTTTCCCCAATTATCATGTGCCTACACTTTGCCAGTCAATTCTAAAGGTGGTGGGTGGAAAAGGCTAGCAAATGGCACCCAAAATGACACCTGCCTGTGTGCTGGACGCTGTGGGAAGCATGGTGCATCAGGGAGACCACCGGGGCGGGGCGGGGCAGGGCCCAGCCCGGCTGCAAGGCTGCAGCACTGGGAGCCCGGCGCGGTGACCAGAAGCTCATCCACCGGCAGAGTTTAGTACACAAAGACATAAGATGTGTAATAAAACCTAACGAAAAGAGTCACTCTCACACCCGCTGTCAGAGAAGCCTGAACTGGGCTGCCCTCTTTGGAGGATGATACAAACAGCTCATCAAAATGTCAAACACACACACTCTTTAGTATAATTCTACTGATAAGATTTTGTCTATTAATCAACTGCAAAAGCATACAAGATATGTGAATAAGACCATTGGTTGTAACATGGCGTGTCATGTCAAAAAGTAAAAATCATCTAAATGTATACGGAAGAGCACTGTTCAAGATAAATCATAGTTCAGCACAGAATGGAATACCATGCACCACTGAAACTAATGACAACATCTGCATCTCCAAGATACACACGCTTAAGAGCAAAAAAAGCAAGATATAGAACAAGAAAGAGAGTGCGGGCCCATTTGAGATACGCGTGTGCATGTATGTGTGTATCATGTATGTCTATGTGCATATAGAGTTTGAGTTTTTCAGCTTTCTCTTTTTGTTTTTGATTCGTATATAAATATGAATAAAAACAAGAAAACGTAAACAGTGGTCACACCTTTAGGAAAAGATTTGGGAGTTTAGTGTGTGGGTGAGTGACTACGGCAGAGAATTTACTTCTTATTTTCATACCTATCAATATTATTTGATTTTTTTAACTATGTGATTGCATATTAAAAAATATTAATAAGTATTTTTTAAATTCTATGAAGAAACATAAAAGTATTAGTCTAGGAAGACATACATTGACATATTATCAGCCTCTAAAAATTATTAGATATTCAAGATATGAAATCACTGTCTCAAAAGCAGATGTTCAGAAAGCACCAAACTCTCCATTAGTCTGGCGTTTCCCGTGCTTAACCTGCCAGCGCTAGTTTGCTGGGCTGACGGGAAATGTCACTGTATCATCCTAAGGGTAACATGCAAAGTAAAGGATGCTATTGATATTTCACACAAAATTCAAACACGATTTTAATCACTGAACTCAAACGCGCCTGAACCCCTTTCTCTCCACAGTGCGTGCAGATGTATTAAATTGATTACTGTACTAAACCATTAAATTCAACTAATGAAGACGGACACTGTCATTGGCAACAAGCCCCAAACTGACAGTGCCATGTGGAACTCATCCCGAATGCACATCTTTCTAGTTATCCTATGTGAGCATCCTTTAAAACAATTACATGTCCCAAACACCTCGAAACTTAAATTAGTAATATGGATTTGAAATATTTTCTTACTCTTGATCAAAAAAATCCATTTGCATGGAGATGCCATTAGACACCAGGAACAACACTGAACAGACACTTGTGGTAATCCAGTGGCGAGGGCCCCACATGAAAACAGCACCTATGTAGGCGGTGAGCGCTTCTGGAGTTCAGAAAAGGGAAAATCCCAACGAGGGGTGCAAATCATGGTAAAAACATTAGCATTAAATTAGAAACCAAGTGGGCTTTAAGAGAGAATTGAAATTTGTGCCAAATACAGAAAAGACAGAAGGTTTAACATTCAGGGTTTAGGGCAAGGTAAGCGAAAGTGAAGAGGTGCAGTAATGATTTTAGCAGCGGGAAGGGAAATGATACTGAAGAAAGGCAGAAAACATGTTGGGAGAGGAACAGTGATGTTAAATATTAAACTAAAATATTTAAGAAATCTGCAGCAGCCACTATCAATTAACTACAGCACTGTTAATAGGTCAGACTCGTGCAGCTATTTCCCGAGAATCGTGGTTCTCAGGCATGAGGGTATACGGGACCCTCCTGGAGGGCTGGGTAATCTATAGCTTGCTGAGCCCCACCCCCAGAATGTCTGATTCAGCCGGTCTGGGGTGGGGCACAAGAATCTGCATTTCTAACAAACTCCCAGGTGATGCTGATGCTGCTGGTCCAGAGACCAGCAGAAGAACCACTAAGAATAACTTTGAACACATCATATACCCTCTCCACAGGAGGCATGCCACCGCAACCCAAAAACGCTGAGAACGGCATCCATACATAACTTGAGATAGGTGCAGGCCTTCCCAAGTCTGGTCCAAGCAACCTCTGCGACAGCATGTGCTCTGGGGACAGTTAGAGCACACAGCTCTCAAGGAAATTGGCAGCCTGGACCCAGGAAGCCGGGCCTCAGCCCCATGTTAACCACCCACCTCCCAGTGAGGCTCATCCTGAGGAAACAGCTCTGTAGCTTGACACAGACTTATATTTAACATCTTAAAACCAACCAGGGACCAGACTGTCACTTGACACATTTCACTGAAGGCCTGGAGTTCATCAACCCACACCTAACCTGGCATCAAACCAAAGCACATATCACATTGTGTCACTTCATTAACAGTGTAATGTGGAAATGCATAACCACACCCACACGAAGACCTCAAAACTCACATCCAAATAAATGATGAGAGCCCATGAGATCACTAATGAGAACACAAACAATGGCCCACTAACCCCAATACAGACACCAAGCAGGTCTCCTGGTCACTTCTGCCCACATTTAAATTTGCAGGAATAAAAAAAGTTATTATAAGGAAACAGCACATGTAACTAGAGGCGTGATGCATGATTATGCCCTCCAGCTGCTGAGATGTACCGTAAGGTATTTTTCAGATGTGATTAATATTTAAACAGTAGACTTTGAATAAAGCAGATTACCCTCCATAATGTGGCTGGGCCTCATCCAATCAGTTGAAGGCCTTATGAGAAAAAAGACTGACCTCTTCCCAGGAAGAGAGAATTCTGCTCCAGAATGCCTTTGGACTCGAGACTGCAACAAGTCTCTTCGGGGTCTCCAGCCTGCCAATCTGCCTGTCCATTTCAGACTTGTCAGCCCAAACAACTGCATGAGTCAACTCCTTCAAATCAATCTCTCTCTCCTTGTATACAAAATATACATAATATATATGTATATGTTAATTGATCATTATCAAGCAGGAACAGATTGTGAATAGACAGTGTCACAGAACTGTCAACGACTCCTATTGGTTCTGCTTCTCTGGAGAACCCTGACAAATAACACCCCTCACAGGCCATAATCTCCATTCCTTACTGGATAATAATCAATTACCTCCATCCCGTGAACCCCAGGCCACCGAAGCAGAACGTGCACACTTAATGGCTGCGCCACTGGGCGGGCCACTGAAATTTCCTGAATTCATCTTCTGCCTGTACTCCTGTTGACTCTGACCGCCTCCGATCTTATGCTCCAGTCAGTCCACAGGCCTTGCAGTCCTCCGGAACACCACGTGCCTGCTGCTTCTCAGCCCACACTGCCGCTGGCCCCTCAAGCTGGGAACACCCTCCCACCACCCACCTCTCCTTCTTTCAGCCTCTCTAGTTCTTACCCATCCTTCATGACTCAACTAAAAGGGACTTCCTCCCCTTGAGAAAAGCCTTCCTTGCTTACCTCCTGCTCCCAGTGGGTGGGTGTGTCTTACCTAAAACTCACCGTACCTGTGTTTGTCTTTGCCACAGCATTCAGCACTCTGTACTCTATTTTTTATTTGCAGATATGTCTTCCCTTAGGAGGCTGCAGGCTTCCTGACTCCGGCACGTGTGAGTTACTGACCCTTGTCTACAGGGACCAGCTCACAGTGGACTCTCAGTGAGTGTCCATCGCTGGGAACTGCAAAAGCATGTTTCTGAATTACAAAGAAGCCTCAAACCCCGTAAGTTCAACAGCTATTAGTCTCGATCTACACATTACTCCTTCTAGAATGCTGCACGACTAGAGTGAGCGTACTTCTCGAACTCAACAACTCCTTCTTTTTCTTTCATATACCAAAATACCCAAAACAAACAAAAACACTTCCTCCTTATCTGTCTGCTTCCAGTCAGATGGTATTTATGTCCTTAAGACAGGGACTTACACTAAATTCGCTAACGTTCCATTCATTTTGTAGGGCGTGAATACAATTTATCATTCCTAGCTCCCAGTAATACCCTGAACATTACGCAAACAAACAGTTTCGACTGGTCCTTTAGCAAAGTCTTCCTGCACGAGACCTCAGCACTGCGAGGCTGGCTTGCATTTCACAACTAACAACGCCCCATAGCTTGTCAGACTAAAATCATCTGGCTGCTGAAGCTTTTCTCCTGGCCATCAAAGTGATCTGCATTGCTAGTCCCTGGTAATTATCTCAATAACTCTGATTGTTTAAAAAAAAAGACAAAACAAGAAAGCCTGAATTTATATTATTATGTATTGGAAAAAAGATGAAAATTTTTTACACTGAAGAGAAGTTTCAAAGTACAGTTTAGCAACAAGTGGATTCCCTTTAGATTTAGAAATAATAAAGCAAAAATATAAAAGGTACTTAACAGGCCGTATAAGATATTGCCACTAGACAAAAAGGAATCAGATACAATACTCCATCAAATACAATACAAAGGAGATGGATGATACGTAGACAAATGATAGATAGACAGACAGATACATAGACAGTCAGATACATAGATAGATACATAGACAGACAGATACATAGACAGATAGGTGGTAGACAGGCTGACACTCAGAAAAACAGACACACAGGGAGGTTTTACGTAATCCTTTCACATGTCAATTCGCAGGACATATTCTAACCAAACAAATAGGATGCTTGTTTTGATATAAATTTCACCAGATATCCTTGGCATAGTACGAAATACATGGATTATTCCGATTGTCCCTGATATGTGAGGGCTCCAAATGTTACATCAGCCACACGCCTCCTTGCTGAGTTTTGAAGAAATAAAACAATTTTCGAGCCAAGGAAGAATAGCATCAGATGACACACAAGTTATTTCAAGCAGTTTTAATTAAAGACCTTTCGAAATAGTATTTTACATTTAAAAAAACAAGACAGGTAAGTATATGCAAATGATTTGTATTTCTGCAGAAAATTTGGAAATAGTACACTGTTATGTCAAGTTAATCCTCTTAGTCAGTTTGACTTTCCTCCATGGTTAGTAGAATTTCGTGTCTGCACATTGCCAGATACTTGTCTTACTGACCTCCTAATTAAACAGATGAATTAGAGTGTTATTTGGAAAGCAAATGAACAGTTTCAATACTTCAAATTAAAGGACTTTATAAACAGCAAAAATAATTCACTGTTTGCCTATGTCCAGTTGCTATTTGGTATTTCTTTCAAAAAATATTTATTGATCACCTTTTATCATCAAGTTACTTTCAGAATATAAGGATGACTCATCAGACATTCTAGCAAGGGAGACAACTAAAGTAGCCACGTGCCCTATCTAACCAAGGGTAGTGCTGTCTTACGCCTCCCATCCTGGCATAATTATTTATAGCACTGCCTTTCACTCCTAAAATTGTTCCAGTTTAAACAATAAATCTTATGGCCACTGTACGGCTAAGAAACGTACGTAAATTAACAAGAAACATGATGATGCCATTAAAGAATTACAAATGGCCATTCACATAGTGTTCGTGGAAGGAAGTGCACGCCCCACAGAGCTGAGTTCTAGCCGCTTCTAGGATGTTGCAGAGGATTTAAAGTGAATTTAGCACCAAAATATCAAATACAAATATCTGACCATTGCATTGATTTCCCACTACTTCACAAGTGTCACCAGGCTAGAATGTAGTCACCCAGTTGCTACTCGATGTTAATCATACCTAGTAGTGGGTGTTTGAACAAATTAATAAATAATTACAAATGAATGCATTTTGATAACTTCTGCACAAATTATTGCTCCTGCTTAGTTATATTAATAATAATAGCTAATGTTACCTGGGTATTCATATGCACCTGGCATAGCCATAATCCCTTTACATACAGACTTTCAACTGATATTTATTAATGCTTATGATAAAAAACGCTTTCTTACCATTATCACCCCCATGTCACAGACGAGGAAACACCGAGGGGATAAGTAACCTGCCCAAGATTACAGAACAAACGAGCACAGGCGGCCGCGCTCCCCACCCTCCTCCAAGTCCCCGCCGCCAGCTTTAGTCGAGTCGGGAGCCACCCACGCCCCTCGGTTTTTCATCTTACCCTTATTATTTATTGTAAAATCTTAACAAATTACAGTTAAAACTGTACTTACTGTGCCCTCATGTGTCTTACATAATGCCTTATGAGCACAGCACAGGAAGTCCCAATATTCAGGGTCCAAAGGGTATCACACAGGGTTGTCTGAAACTGGAAGTGTTATCAACAGGCACCTCCCTAGATATATCTTCAATTTGAGTCCTTTCCGTCACCAGTCCAGCTATAATAAAAATCAGACAATCAGAAGCATATTCCTTTTCCTTCTCTCCCTCTCTCCCTCCCTCCCTCTCTCTCTCACACACACAGTCACAGCAGCAGTCCAGAGAGACAAGCCTCAGGGAATATCAGCACTGTAATAAGTCTGGTTAGTTTATCTTAGGGCTTACCTATCTGAATTCTTTCTAGAACAATATTTGACATTTTACACTCCATTCAAAAATGGGTAACATAGATAAATATTTTCTATCTCCTTAGAACACAGTATCTCTTAAGAGGTTTGTTCCATACTGAGGTCTCCAAACTTGAGCAAGCTAAGTTTCCAAAAGTTCACTCTAGAGAACTTCCTGCCAAGATGGCGCGGAATAGCCTTGCTTTGTGATACCCCTTTGCTGTAAACAAAGAACAAAGCCTTTAAAATATACACTGAATAACCCTTGTAAACCTGCAGCAAATCAGAAAGAAAGTGACAAGCGAGGCTAAAACCTTCAGTCCACTGGGCTCCAGAGGAAGAAAAAGGCAGAGGAAGCCCAGAGCCCAGGGGTCGACATGAGATGGGCGCTGCAGCCAGTTGTACCCCTTCAAGTCAGGAGATGGCGAGAGGCTCCACCAGCCACAAATGGGAGCTGAGTGCAACTTCCACCACAAATGCATAGAGCTCCGGGTGACAGTAGTGAGTCTAAGAAGGCAGGAAGGGCAATACGCACTCCTGCCCAGGACGTGGGCCCCAGGGAACCAGGCAGGGGTGACCACAAAATCAAAAAGCCAGGAGAAAGTGGGCACACACAGAATGAGAAAACAAGGTCCTCCCACTCAGTGTGCCTGAAAATCAAAATTCAAAACCACCATACAGAAACCAAAGGCTAAGAAAGTCAGCAAGTAAAATAAGCCGCTGGAGGAAGAAGTCACCCTGATGAAATTTAAACTACAAAGAATACTGACAAATATTCCTAAGTAAATAAGTTCAAGATGCTCAAAACGACAAATGAAAAAAGATCGCAAATGAACAAGAAATTATGAACAATAATACAAGGAAGTAAAGCAAAAAGTGTTGGAAATGAAATAAGTTTAAACATTAGCAATTTAAAGTGTGGTCAATAAGATATACGAACCTGACACACTTTTAGCTAGACACACCATGAAAAAGAGAAGATTCAGTTACTAAAACTGGAATGAGAGAGGGTACATCAGCACTGATCTTAGAGGAATCAAAAAGATTCTAAGGGAATACTATGAAAATTGTATGTGGATAAAGTAGATAGCTTGCATGAAATCCCTAAAAAGACACAAATTACTGAAAATTAATCAAGAAGAAATAAAAAATCTGAATATTCTCATAAAAAGTAAAGAGATAAAAATAGCAATTTTCAGACTTCCCAAGAAGAAAAGCCCAGGCCCAGACGACTTACACCAAATATTCAAAGAATTAATACCTATCCTTCACAGACTCTTCCAAAAAAGAGAAAAGAAGAAGGGATACTTCCAGTTCATTCTATGAGACCAGTATTGCCAATTCCAAAACAGACAGAGATATCACATGGAAAAAAACTACAGACCAGGATCCCTTACGAATATAGATTCAAAATACCTCAACAAACTGAATCCAGCAACATATAATAGGATTATACAACATAACTAGGAATGCAGGGTTAGTTTAACATTAGAAAATCAATTAATGTATTACACCATATTAAGAGATTTAAGGACAAAAACCACATAATCATATCAATAAAAACAGAAAAGTCTTTTAACAAAAGTTATACCCTTTAAAAGTTAAGAAACCTCTCAATAAAATAGAAACAGAAGCAACTTCCCAAAGCTGATAAAGAGCATTTATGAAACACCTACAACTAACATCATTCTCAGTGATCAAAGACTGAAACCTTCTCCCTAAGATCACAAACAAGGCAAGGAATTCTGCTGTCACAGCAGAATTTAATTTAATAACGTGCAGAAGTTTCTAGTGGGGGCAGTTAGGCAAGAAAAAGAAATAAAAAGGCATCTAAATGGGAAAGGAAGAAGTAAAACTCTCTCTGTTAAGGATGACATGATCTAGTATGTAAAAAATCCTAAGGAATCAATTAATAAAACTATTAGAACTAATAAATGAATTTACAAGGTTGCAGGATAGAAGGTCAATATAAAAAAATCAGTTGTATTTCTATACACAAGCAAATAACAAACCAAGAATAAATTAAAACAATCCTGTTCATAATAGAATCAAAAGATAAAATACATACAAATTTAACAAAAGAAGTCTAAGACGTGTAAAATGGAAACTACAAAACACTGTTAAAAGAAATTAATGAACGATATTTTTTGTTAATGGGTTGGAAGACATTAATTTTAAGATGGCAATATTCCCCAAATTAACGAACAGATTAAATGCAATATCTATCAAAATCCCAAGTGACTTTTTTGCAGAAATTGATAAATCAATCCTAAAACGCTTATGGCAATGCAAAGAACCCAGAATAGCCAAAACAATCATGAAAAAGAAGAAAGTTAGAGAACTCACACTTCCTAATTTCAAAGCTTACTACAGAGCTACAGTAATTGTGACAGTGTGGTACTGGCATAAAGCCAGACATACAGACCAGCTGAACAGAATGATGTTCCAGAAATAAACCCATACATCTATCGTTAATTAATTTTCAACAAGGGTGCCCACTGGGGAAAGAACAGTCTTTTTCAATAAAAACGGTGCTGGGACAACTGGAAAAGCACATGCAAAAGAATGAAGCTGGATCCTTACCTTACACCATATACAAATATTAATTCAAAATGGACCATAGACTTAAATGTAAGAGCTAAAACTATGAAATTCTTAAAGAAAATAAAGGAGTAAATCTTCATAACCTTTGGTTAGGTAATGGCTTCTTGGATATGACACCAAAAGGACAAGTGACAAAAGAAAAATAGGTAAAGTAGACTAAATCAAAATTAAAACCTTTTCTGCTGTAAATGATAACTGTCAAGAAAGTTAAAGGACAACCTACAGAATGGGAGAAAATATTTGAAAATCACATATCTAAAGGAAGATAATTTGAACATTTTCTATAGAAAAAGACATTGAACAGCAAAGAATTTGAACAGGTATTTCGCTAGAAAAAGATGTACAAATGGCCAACCACGCACATGCAAAAGATTCCTCAACCATCCACTAATCATTAGGGAAATGGAAATTAAAAGACACAAGGATATCACTTCACATCCACTAAGACAGCTATAATCAAAAAGACAGACAGTAATAAGGGATGTGGAGAAAATAGACTTCATACATTGCTAGTAGAATGTAAAATGGTGTAGCCACTTTGGAAAATAATTTGGCAGTGCCTCAAAATGTTAAAGTGAACCAGCGATTCCATTCCTAGGCATATATCCAAGAGAAATGAAAACATATGTCTAAACAAAAACTTGCACACGAATGTTCACAGCAGCATTATTCATAATAGCCCAAAGTGGAAACAACCCAAAGTCCATCAACTGATGAGTGAATGAACAAAATGTGGGGTTTCTATACAACATGGAATACTATTCAGGAAGAAAAAGAAATGATGCACTGATACATGGATGAACCTTGAAATGGGAAGTGACTGTTAATGGATATTGGGTGTCTTTCAGAGGCTACAGAATGTTCTAAAATTAGACTGTTATGATGATTGTACAACACTGTGAATATACTAAAAAGCCTTGAATTGTATGCTTTAGATGTGTGAAGGCATACCCTTCCTGAATTTTATCTCACTAAAGCTCCTTTAAAATGCAGTCATTGATACCAAAAAAGAAAACTGGAAAAGCAAAATACACTGAGACTAGACACAGTCCAAAAGATTGTAAGTAAATTCCAAGATGGGACTGAAGAAAACAGGGATAAAAGCTTAAGAAAATTTTTTTAGTGAGACAAAAGAAATGTACTGGCACCCAATATTGTGAAGATGACAATAATTCTGAAATTAATTTATAAGTCTATGCCATTCCAGTCAAAATTCTAATATTTTCTGTTGGAATTTGTCAAGCTTTTCCTAAAATGAAGAAACAAAAGACAAAAAAACAAACCTAAGAAGAGCTATGTGAAAATGTTTACCTTATCATCTTATTATGAAGCAATAGTTATTAAGTCAGTGTGATACTTGTACAGAGATAGGCTAACAGAGCAAGGAGACAGATGAGAGAGCCCTAAAAAAGAAAGGTATGCATGAAAACTTGATTATCAGAGGAGGTATAACGTCAGCTGTGAACTTTTCATATACGGCCTTTACTAAATTGATAAAAGTAAATCTTTTTATAACTGATTTGTTGATAGATTTATCATAAAAAGTGTTTTGAATTCCGTCAAATGCTTTTTTGTGCGTCCATTGAGATGATCATGTGATTTTTATCTTTCATTCTGTTAAAAGTGCTGTCTCACATTAACTGATGTTAGCATGTGGCACCATCCTTTTATGTCAGGGCATAAATCCCACTTGTTCATAGTGTATGACCCTTTTAACGTGCTGTTTCATTCAGATTGCTTATATTTTGTTGAGGATTTTTCCTTCTATATACATCCAGGATATTGGCCTATAAGTTTCTTTTCATGTCTTGTCTTTGGCTTTGGTATCACGGAAGTGGTGGCCTCATAAAATGAGTTTGGAAGTATTCTCTTCTGTTCCATTCTTTGCAAAAGTTTGATAAGGAATGGCATTAATTCTTACTTAAATGTTTGGACGAATTCACCAATGAAGCCATCTGGTCCCGGGCTTTTCTTCACTGGGAGTTTTTTGATTACTGATTCAGTCTCCCTAGTAGTTATAGATCTGTTCTGTTTATTCATGAGTTAGTCTTGGAAGGTTGCATGTCTCTAGGGATTTATCCAATTCTTATAGGTTATTCAGTTTGTTGTTGCAATCATGGTAATCTCCTGTGATCCTTTTTATCTCTGTGGCATCAGATGTAATGTCCCCTCTCTCATTTCTGATTTCATTTGATCTTCTCCCTGTTTCATAATTAGTTTAACAGCTA